CAGCTGAAACTCGATTAATATTTTCCGTATGATTAAAAATATTTTGACATTATTATTACTTATTAGTTGTTTGAAATAAGCAAAATTTTAAAATACATAATGATAGTAAAGTCATAACATGTTACAGGATAAACATCTAAAATAGTAAACATTTTACGGATAAGCTACTGTTACATTTTACTGACCAATCCAACCATGAACATCCCTGAGCCTGGAGGAAACAAAAGAGACATCATGACAAAAGTAGCGAAGAATGGGTACACCAAACAGCTGAAAAGTTATGAATGAATGCAGAACTGTAAAAATAAAACGATTTTATTTTCACCATGAAAAATATACCTTAAAAAACAGATAACAATAAAAAAAACAGAAATAACCCACTAACGAGGAAAGAATATACTCTTTATTTATTGTCAAAGACAAATTTAAAGAGCTCAAAAAGGCAACAAATCAATCACATAGAACGCTCCTGGAAATGATACATCAAATGATCTCATCTCAAGAAATATTAGTAAACAATACTATCATAATACACAGTAACAAGAACCACAGCCAAGAATTGCTGGAGCGATCTTCACTGACCAAAGAAAACCGCAAATCAACAAGCAGCAAAGAATATCACCATCACTAAGGACCAGAAGAATTTTATTGAAAGAGTTTACAAGGAAAGAGAATAAAACAGAACAAAGATACAATAAATGGACAGGACCAGAATATAATAAACGGGCAGAACATAGCGGAATAAAAGCACTTTGCACAGGACAAAGCAGAATAAAAGAACTTTGCACACACAAAGAATTGTAAAATCTTGAAATATTCCTATATAAACGCAGAAGAGTAAAATCGAAATACGGCCCATATACGCTTCACCATGAACACCAACGATTTTCTAATTAATTTTAATAAATTGGATAATAATTACAAAATTTCTGTTAGAAATATTGACAAGCTTAATCGTAAACTTTTAAGAAGCTAAAAAATCGGTTGGTTTTAACAAATATTGCATCAATTATGGTCACTTCCCAGCATATATATATATAATGTAGTATGTGTTGGAAGGAGACCATATTTGATATATATATATATATATATATATATATAGAAAGAGAGAGAGAAAGAGGGAGAGAAAGAGACAGGGAAAGAGAGACAGTGATTGGCAAAGAAAATAGAAAGGAAGAAGGAAAACAAGAGAGTACCTACCAATATAAACAACGCGGATGACAAATAATTATAAATAATGTCAACAGCCAAAGCTGCTTACTAGTCTTTTATGAAATTAGCTATTTCCAATTTTTTGCTTATGAATAGAGATAAATTTTTGTGTGCGCAGATCAACAAGCTCCCTCCGATGCCACAGACTAATCTGAAATGATTGTGAAAAAATTAATAAAGACATGGATGCACAGATTAACGAATAACGTAAAGTAAAAAATAACGAGCCAACCCGACAATTGAGAACGAAACAATTTCCATCGGATCGAACGGTACATCCTGGCGAAGATTTGTCTGAAAAAGTGCTGTGAGTGTAGCTGGAATTGCATGTAAAAAATTTGAATGAATGAATGATATATGAGTGTGCGAATTAATGAATTGTGACTTAAATTCAATGGTACTGCATGAAAACAGCCTTGCAAGTTTTTGTATATAGCAACAAAATAGTGTAAACAAATTGCTCCTAAATAATAGAAGTGATTCTAGTTGCAAAACTTCTCTTGAAATTTCTATCAGAATAATCACAATCTTCATTTTTATACAAAATTTTTATTGGTAAACAACTGGTAAGCAGTTTCTATAATTTTATAAACAACACTTTTAACTTACATTCATCATCAAACCATATCGCAAGCAACCTGAAGACAATTGCGCCGCAAACTGCTGAATAGAAACCTCTCCAATAATTTCTGACTGCAAAATAGCTGGCTGTTACCTCTATGCTAAACAAAACGCCTTCGTAAAAATGGTAAAAATATTGTAAGACTGGTTTTTTTAATAAATTCATCTCGCAAAATTTGATAACCGCATAAACTCATGATTTTTAAATATAACAGAAAAATAATGTTGTAAAATTAAATGCTAATTAAATGCTTTTTTTAATAAAAAATATAACCCTGATTTCAGCCATCAAAATAACGGATTGCAAACAATTGTTCGTTGGAAATAGCACATCAACCATAAATAGACCGATTAAGTGGTTTATTTATTTTGCAATAAACTAGTGAATAGAAAAAAATACAACTAAATGTAAATAAAAAAGTGAGCATTATGTTAAAAATAGTGCAAATAGTTTTGCCGCCCGTAGCTGTCAAAGTGAGGATGCTTTTGACCAGCTGTTTCAATAAGTTACTAATTTTTATTTAAAATTGTTGTAGATAGCTACTAGCTACTACATTTAGAAAAGCTCAACGTCTTGGACCTTAAAAACAATTACAGTCAAAATAGAGCAAGCTATATGAAAAATACGACCAAGTGGTGTTGATGGTGTTGTGGAAATTTTTAAATAGAAACAAATTGATGATACATTGGTATCTTGTTAAACTTGGCTGAAAAATTGAGTTGAAACAAGCACAACTTAAACACTTGACGATCCCACCCTTTTCCTTCTTTAGTTTTTATCTAGGATTGATTATTGTAACTTGCTCTACTATGGTCTTCCTGATTCTAAACTCTGTGTTTTAAATAATCCTTTTAACTTTTCTGCTGGTTTAATGGCTTGTGTCCCTATCTTTTCTCATATATCTCCATATCTTGTTCACTTGCACTATGGCTACCTAAAAAATATAGAATAATTTTAAAAATTTGCACACTAATGTACAAGTTTCAATCTAAATTATTTCCTTAGTACTTATCAGAATTGGATATATTAATTGAACCTAAGAGCCACGCCATCATTTTCTTGTTCTCATTTCTTCTTAACTCTCTCATGTTAAACACTCTCATGCTAAATCTGCGTTTTATTTACTGGCCCTTTTCTAACGTCGTGGAAAGAAGTAAATAACATTTTTGATGTTGATAAGATATTTGTAAATAAACTATAGATCAGTCTTGAATTAAAACTAGTAACAAAATATTTGTATTACATTAAAAGAAACCTCAAAAACCACAGAAGCCCTTCGACGCTATTTTTGAAAATATTGAAGATGTCACCATTTAAAGACATTACTAACATTGGGTTGATACAATAAAATTTTCCCCAGCTAAGAGTTTAAATAATGTTCAGTAGTTTTGTTAATAAAATCAAAAAAAGCAAAGAAATGAAAGAGGATAGTATAATGGCGAAGTCAAACATATCACTGAGTATGTCCTATGAAACATTCGAATAAATATACTTTTGGATTTAAGGTTTAATATGCAACGAAAGAAAAACCTATATATGTAAAAGTTATTTTCTAATCTGATTCATTTAGCGGTTAAGCAAATGCAGTGGTTAAAGGCTAGATAAACACTAACAAAATATCCTACATTTTTTCTCTAGAAACTAAGCAACTGTTGAGAAATGAATTTCATTCACCTTATTTATATGTTCATGAAAATCCTATGGCAAAAATCAGTCGCTTTGGTAATATAGTTAATAATGACATTACGTAAAAAAAAGTGCATGGTAACCTCCGATGGGAGCAGCGAAAGTGCAGGCCACACCAACAGCGCATGCTGCAGCCAATATTTCAGTGTTGCATGTCGAATTCTTCCGTAACGATGTGCAAGTTACAAAACATAAAATATAATTTCAAGTTATTAAAAACAATCATTATTTACCTTGAAATCAAGCTTAAAAGTAGGAAACAGCTTAGCCAGTAAAAAAGCAGAAATACTAGCAACATGAACAAATGGTCCCTGGATTCGATTTTTTTTTGAACAACTTGAGATTTTATATTTAAGTTTTATTTGTATTTAATAAAAAAATCAGCTAAATAGTAAAAGGTAAATAATTAAATTATTTAATTAATATGATACATTTATTATTAATCCATGAAAGCGGTCGGCGAGCAAGATATTTTGTAGCGAAAACTCCGCGGTGAAAAACATTTAACATAGCCACATGAATCAAACTATTGTGTATTGGCCCTCTTACGTAACTTTCAGTCCGATAAATCTTGTAAAATAATGTCTCGAAATTTTAGTAGAATTTATTTAGTGATTGAGAGATTATTGGAGAAATCAAAGAACCCCAAAGACGAAAGACTTTTGGAATCCTTTTTCATGTGTTTTCATGAAATAAACTTGTTAAAAAAAAGCAAAAATATGCAAACAAGTTCGATCGATATATATATATATATATATATATATATATATATATATATATATCTAATATATATATATCTAATATATATATATCTTATATAAATATATATATCTTATATAAATATATATATATATATAACGGCTACGGACTTGTAATAAAATTTTGATAGAGGATGGCTCCTGCGTTATTTGGTGGAATTCCGGAATTCCACCTACAGATTTTTTGCGCCAAAGGCCAAAGCTAAATATTTAGCCATTTTCATTGATTTTGTATTCAAAACGTACCCTGTTGTTTTGAAATCAGGAAGATGACGTTATTTCGTTGCGTTTACATAGTGTTGTTAACATGGACATATATATATATATATATATATATATATATATATATATATATATCATATATCATATATATATATATATATCATATTTAATTATAATATCCATGGTTGTTAAAGCTTTATATTCTTTTCAGTTTCGGTTTGTATTTATTTTTTAAAAGCCAATTTGAATTTCGGTTTGAGTTACAGTTTTATCTTTTTTTCAGTTTCAGTTTATATTTAGTTTCACAATTTAAATTTCAGTTTCATTTTAAGTTTCAGTTTTGTTTTGAAGAACACTCGATTTTGTAAATAAATTAAAATAAAATAATTGTTGTTTAAAGTTTACTGCAATTTAGCATAAAATAACATACATTATAAATTAAAAGGATTAAACTTAACTAACAATTGGTAAATTAGTCAAAAACATGCTGAATAATAATAGCGATTGTAAACTTGGACGTTAGATGCAAATTTCTATTTTGTTTTTAAATAAGTTTCAATTTTTTAAATCTTTTAAGTTTTAGTTTCAGTTTCAATTAACTGAAATGATTTTTTCCGTTAACCGATATTTCAGTTACAGTTAACTCCATCAACACTACATTCATATATATATATATATATATATATATATATATATATATATATATATATATATATATATATATATATATACACACACTTCGGGACACAGCTTATCAGTGTTAATATTATTACGCAGCCGAAAATGTTTTCACTCGGTTCAAAGTTACAAAGCAAAAAGTCGTAAAAAATCTGGAGATTCAATAGAAGAACGTTCATTTTCAAGTTCTGTGGAGTCGCAAGAACGTAACGCCTCAGAAATTTGTTAATAGCGAAGTTTCATTAACTTGGATAAAAAGAAATAAAATGAAATAGTTAACATCTAAGAGAATTTTTATCTAAATCCACAGGAACCATCCCTTTTACATGCTATATGAACAAGTGAAAATTTTTTTACATTCTGTTCAGCGGTTTAGGAGTTCATATATATACATACATAACCTCTTTTCCAATTGGTAATCCACTGCCAACAGCTGTTGACAACCCAATAACTTTAGCCAATAAGGTATTAAAAGTTAGATATTCATTCATGGACACACCCCTCATGATCGTTTTGATTTCAGGAATACCAGATCCTTTTTTAATTTTAGAAAATGAATGGAATGGCTATGCATAAATCTTCTAGAATAAAACGGTAAAAAAATTATTTTAATTTGATTCAACCTATGGCTTGTGGAGATACAATTCTTGTGAATCCTGTTGAAAACAAGACAAGAATTAGTGGAGCAATCATCCATGAAAAATATTGAAGGTACACATTTGGAGATGACATGTTATATAACCATATCCTCGCTGCATTGAATATTCGCAATATTTAAAATTTTTTAAATGCACAAATATTGTACATTTTGTGGGCATCGCCAATTTAAAAAAAAATTCATTTACAGCAAAAAATTAGTAGCTACCTATATGAAATCTTTCAATGAGTATGTCCATTACAAAACTTAAAAGGGCCATGATTATTCCAAGCAACGTTAAAAATATCCAATCATCTCCGTGTCTGCCAGCTAGCGAATTCCAAAACGAACAAAATTTTTCTAGAATTAATATCATCAAAATGCATAAATTAATTTCAAAATTGTTACTTATTGAGATAAAATTATACTAAAGCATTTCTGAGGACGTTTCCTGGTTCTTGCAGTCTGGCACATTTTTAATTATAATTTATATTTTTTAATGTTTACCAATAATAATTAATTTTATTTACTTAATTTATAGTGATAAATTCAATTCAGTTATTCAAATTGAATTATTGCAAATAAATCTCATAGCTATCAAACTGCATCTTCTCAATTCACTACTTTTTATGGACGCCTTTTGTAAACATTACAAATACACAATAAGTTGAAACCTATCAAGAAATACTTCACGCTATTCCCATAATAACACGATACAAATTCCGACACATTTTGTAATTATCCACAGATAATTTGAAAACACGGTCTGCGGATTTATTCGAGTCGTACACAACATATCTACAACACTATTATTATCTGTAATTTAAAATAATTGGTTCTAAATAAAATAATTGCTATTTTTATATACCGACAAAAAATGTTTTGAAGAACCTAACGCTCACTCGAATCGTTATTCCATTATTCATTATTTGATATTTCAAAACTACCAACAACTTATTAAATAGTAATTTTTGTATATTTTTTATAATTTATGAAAATTTAATTAAATTTACTAAAAAAAACATGTCAACTTATATTTTGGATGGAAATTTTATAAGGATGGTGAAAATTTGCGATGTAAATATATGGCCTAGATCGGAAGCTCCTAAGATTATGACGTCATTTGTTCACATCTGCTTCGACGCCGACTGACGAGCATTACATGACAGTTATTGAACTTGTCAGCCATTTTAAATAATATATAAGGAAACTTCGAAAATACGCAACGCATTCGATTTATGTCAAATCTATTCATATGCCGGTATATGTATTCACAAAAAGGTAAAAATATAGTTTGTATTAATTTGCAGCATGAATAATAAAAATAATTTGTATTCATTTGCAGCATTATACAAGATCTTCTTATCAATATTCATTTTATAAATTATAATTGACAAAAAAAAAACAAATGAAAAAAAACTAAATTGAACCTCTCAATGTTATAAATAGAAATTAAACTGCAGTAAACAAAAGGCAGTCAAATTTATAACAATAAAATATTTTAACGTTCATTTACAAATGTCTACGAAAGAGAAACAGAGAAGTCCAAACAAAGCATTCTGTCATAAACGGTAAAAATGCACAGAATCCAAAGACGTACCAAAACAAATACGACGGCCAACTTTCTAAATGAAAAAGTATTAATACAACTGATCCTGACACGTGAGCCAAGCAAGCTGTTAAAACGTTTATGCGCTTTTTAAATTTATGTTTTTATGATAGAAAGTTTATTAAAAATAACTTACAAATAATTGATTGAGCGTTGGCGAATGTAGATATTCCTGTGAACAAACCAACTAATTCGAAAGTATGAAATGCTAGGGCTATTGAAGTTGCTATAATTAATCTGAAGTAGATTTATTTTATATAAATATGTATTTTAAATGAGATAAATTAAGATTTTATAGTAAACACTAGGTCCACTAATAAACTAACTGATTTTTATAGATATCATAAAGACTATCTGTGTGAAGGGAGGGTAGGCCCATCGACGCTTTGACATTGTTATCCTGAAATTGAAGCGTAGTCGTGAACAAAATTGCTAAAGCATGAATACAAGTAGGGGAGATGGGGGCTCATTGATCTCTGGGGCACATTGATCTTTAAGCAATAACATAGCTATTTCTAAATATAAATGTAGGCCATCACTATTTTAGTTTTCCTTTTGTTTCTATTCTACTTTTAATCCTATTTGTTTATGGACTTTCTGCCGCTGAAGTTCGAAAAATTCGTAAGTTTGATTTTACAGGGAAAAACCAACTATTCACAACAGGTTAGTTTTGTAAATTAAAAATCAGATAAATATTTGTTTGATAAATTAAATTTTGCAATGTGTAAAGATATGTCAGAGGCTTATTTTATTATTTACTTCGATTTTCAATCACAACTTATTGATGAGATATCGCCATTATAGTGTGCTCCATGCCATGGGGGCTCCTTGATCTGTACTAGTAAGGGGTACGTTGATCTGAAGATCAAAGTGCCCCTACTGTCCTCAGATAATAATTCTCCAGGATGTTTAGTCATTTTTCTCTAACCATGCAAAATGCTATTTTTCCATTATTGTAAAATGTAATTTGTGTACTTTGCAGGTTTGGTTTCATAATGGTGAGATATCGGGAGCGAAAAACTAATCGAGGTAAAACACCTGTTGAAGTGATGAGAACAGCAGTTGATGAAGTTCTGAAAAAGAACAGAGCTATCAATGCTGTTGCACGTGAAACTGGAATTGACCGAATGACATTGAAGCGATATGTTCGGAAGAGTAGTCTCAGTCCAAGTGTAGGTTTGATACCGAATTGGAATACAAGGCAGGTATTCAATTTAGAACAAGAAGAGATGCTTGCAAAGTATTTGCTGCAAGCATCTAAGATGAACTATGGACTATCCACCAAAACAACTCGCCAGTTCGCATATGATATGGCCGTTGCGAATAATATAACATGCCCATCTTCATGGTCAATGAAAAAAACTGCTGGTATTGATTGGCTCCAGGGTTTTATGAAAAGAAGACCCGAGTTGTCACTACGTGCACCTGAAGCGACTAGTCTGGCAAGAGCAACAGCATTCAATAAATATAATGTGTTCTAGCTGATGATGGAGAACCAGAACAAATGACTTCAAATCCACAAGTTTGTCAAAAAAAATTACTATTTCTTAAATATTTTAAAAATTCTTGTCTGATGCTTAAATTTAGCAAAACTGCAAGATACGATTTTTATTTGAAAACAGAATATTTTTTTACAGACTGATGATGTTAACATGGTTCAATCTAATATTCACTTTCCAATATCACCAGAAGTGTTGAAACCATTTCCAAAGGCTTCAGCCAGAAAAAAGCTATTTCGGAACAGGCAACAAAAAACAAGAATTTTAACTGACACTCCAGTTAAACATGAAATTTTTCTTGCAAAAGAAAAAAGTGTGAATAAAAAAAAACGAACATCCGATACAGTAAAAAAAACAAAAGCCATGTCAAGCGTTGATTATCTTGGAACACTAGAAACTGATGACAGTGATGGTGATGCAAGCAATCCTCAGTTGACAGCAGAAGGCCCAAGTCTGGACTACGACTGTTCTGCATTAAAAAATAATGACTATGTTGTAGTAAAATTTAAAACTAAAAAGAAAGTTATTCATTACATTGGCCAAATAATATCGGAAGCTGGAGATTTAATGGTAAAATACTTGAAAAGGGAAAAGATGTCATCATTCAACTTTATCTGTAGAAATGATGAATTATATCAATTTATAAAAGAGGACATTGTTTGTAAAGTTCCAGATCCAATTCAGCATGGTGGGACTGCTCGAGTCAGTCGTCACTTGGTTTTTCCCGTTGATTTGACAATTTTTAAAGATCTTAATTAATGTTAATTTTTATTAAAAATTATGAATTATTATATCCAATGTGTTTTAACGAGTTTTTTGGAGGCAAATGAACATCAAATCATATTGATTTATACCTAGGATCAATGTACCCCATGGGAGGGATCATGGTACCCCGTATATGGGGTGCTTTGATCCTTTGTAGGGGGTTGTACCAAAGTTAAATTTTTTAAAAAATTTCTTGTATTATACAATTGAAACTGAACTTAATACATTAAATGAATGTTCCTCTGTAAATTGCACAAATATTAATATTCACTTTTTGGTTAGTTTCACTGTTGTTACAAAAAAACCTCAAAACAGATCAATGTGCCCCCATCTCCCCTACGTACAAATACAAACTCCATAAGGTTTGCTAAAACTACTAAACTAAAGCTGTATTTTAATTTGTCTCACGGCAAACGTTACGTCAAAATTGAAAATAAAATTAGCTTCATGCATTTTATTCCATGATTGTGATTTGTTTGGTCACTTGGTGCCATGCCAAGCCAAAATTTAATCTTATTTCAATTTAATTTAGTTAAACGTTTTAAACTGTCTTGACATGTCAACAAATATAGTTATTTGTAAAGTAAACTCAAATAGTAAATACTTGAAGCTATAATTTAAAAAGTAAATAAATTTAATTTTTTAAATAATTGAATAAAGTTAATTTTTTAAATAATTTTAAATTAATAATATTAATATTAATTAATATCAAATACAAATAAAAATTTGTTTAATTAATTTTTTTAATGTGAAAAACAATACCATTGATGTAAAAATTAGAATCGACAGAATCAATTGAATTATTAATGATAAAAATCGTGTCGGAATTAATGTATCGAAGTTGATCATTTTTAATTTTCAAGCCTAAAATTCGAATGCGGAATTGGCCATACAAAGCAAGTGCGTATAAACAAGAGATGTGAACCGAAACCATGACAACAGTAAAATCTAAAAATTCTAAATAAATAAGATTTAAGCAACTAATTAGTTTGTCAATTGCATACTTTATTAATATATGTTTATTTTTTATTTGATAAACATGAAATGCATTATATATATATATATCAACAACGATAAAATCAACAGAAACATGAAAACTTTAACCGCAGATTCAAATGTAAAAAAAGACAAGTTTTATTATTAACCAATTTACTAATTTGTACATACAACCAACGAGAAATTTTTGTCAGAAATTATCTGATCGTTTTTCCCACCATCAACCGGAAACAAGAGCGGCATATTGCACCCGGTTTTGCTGTTAAAGTGACTGGGGGATCGAATATAAAAAGATTCCCGCCTATCATATGCAATGTGTATGCATGGTTTTCACGTATATTCGCATAGGTCGTGTGCGTTTGTAGTTGAAACCTATGAAGCCTTAAATCCATATATATATATATATATATATATATATATATATATATATATATATATATATATATATGTTTGGCGTTAATATGTTTGTAGTTCGTTTATATTGTTGTTTCCTTTGGTTATCAGGTTGGCCAGTTTTTTTATGAAGTTTTAGTTTATATATATATATATATATATATATATATATATATATATATATATACATATATATACAAGTTGAATAATGCTGAAAACGCGGTGATCTTCATAAATAATTGTATTTATGATAGTCGAAACCCAATATATATATATATATATATATATATATATATATATATATAAACTCATATATATATATATATAGAGAATACATCATGTATATGAATATGTATATACTCTATATGTATGATTAAACCTATATCATTTTATTTATAATTTATTAAAAACATCAAATAAATATTGTTGGTAATTATATGATGCAAATGCTTCCAGATCACCGTCGAGTCCAACTGCCATAGTTCATTTTTTTGGGTAATTTTCCATGTACTGAACGTTCATTACTACAATCCAGCTTAAATTGATAAAAATATATTGTATCACCTCGCTATTATGTAAAAATCTTCAAGACTTATTTTTATGCTAAAATTATATTGTTATTCCAGTTTGTATTCTATATTTCGAAAGTTTTAACTTTAAAAACCCTAAAAATGTGCTATAACATTAGACCTCATATATATATATATATATATATATATATAGAATATAATATACAGAATATGTTATGTTCTATATATATGCATAAGATGCTTTTTCAAAATTTCATGTAGCCAACGAACGGTAACGTAATATCATAACTGCAAACACATCAAGCTCGGCTAACAATGCAAGAAACCTCCAAAACAATTCAGCGGTTAAAATTTAGATTTCATCTAATAAATTTATTTCTATAATAAATCAAACAGCGTCTTGTTAAGTAAAACACCACAAATTTTCAAACATCTTAAATTTCAAACTAATGGTAATAACAATAACAATTATCCAACCTATAAAAAATTATAAAAACTAAGTTCTTCGTAATTATGTGTAAGGCATGCCTGTATAAAACATAGCAACAGGTGATCAATGCAAATAAATAGTGTTCCAGGTACAAAAGTAAAAGTTCGATAAAAAAAATTGTTAAAAATTTTTTATAAAGTTCCAAATAAGGAAATGAAGTAGTAAATACATTAATTGGCAAATGCAGGAAATTCAAGCCTAACATCAAGTATATCGTTATATTCAATGAGAGATGTTTCCCTATAATGCAAAACTAAATCCTTCAAGTCCTTGTGGATGTAGAAAGGCTCGGCAAATCCGTAGCCCGTCTCCGTTTTATCGATGAGACAATGTCCAATTGTTAAACCATCTTTGTTTGGGTTCGGTGCACTGTGAGTGAATAAATTCAAATTATAACTCACTTTGAATGTAAAGAGAAATGGCGTATTACAACTAAAATTAATATTTAATTTGAAAGTTTTAAAATTTCAATATCATATCTCATGAAATACTATTGAAATATTTAATAAAATCAAACAGTTCCTTTGATAGGTTCAAATTGACAATTAAAATGCATAAGCGCGATGTAAGAAATAATTCACAGTAACAAATTATTTATTTATTCAAACTTACACAATCGATAGAGCGTAGGAATCTTCTGTTTTGCGTCTAATAAGGAAAGTGCCCTTTTTCTTACACCTTAAATACTCTTCAGCCATATGTCTGTCACTTCTATCAGCCATCCATGTCGACTCGTCGTAATGCGGAATGTAATCTGTTGAAATTTCCTCACCTTTCTGCATCAAGTCAATGTTGTATGTAGATTCTCCAGCTGAAAGAAGTTTGCTACAAAAAAAAACATTACAAATCATTTATACGTGATATTACAAAATATTTACAATTAATTGCAATTTAAAAACTTATTAAGTTATTTTAAAATTCAATACAAATTCTAGAAAAGACCACGTCCATAGGGACTCTGACTTTTGCATCATAGCTAAGGAAGGTATAGCAAAGTATGATCCGGTAGTGAATTTTAGTTTGCGTAAAAAAATGTACAAAAGAGCTACAGAAAAAAGAACTGGCGCCCTGTGTAAAGCCATGAAAAATAAAAAAATAAATTTAAAGAAAAAAAAAATGTAAACAAAACGAAATATGATAAAAAGAGAATAAGCAATTATTAAAATTTTAGTTATTTCTGAATTAAGATAAAAGTTGAAATTGCTTACTAAGCCAACATGTCCCTTTTGAAATTAAGAGAACTTAATTGGTCCTTCTTTTTTTCAATATCAAGAATTGTGACCTTCAATTGGGCATTAGCCCTGTCCATTTCTGCCTGTAACTCTAAACACGAGTTTCTCAATTTTTCGATTTCATTTTTTATTGTGCAAGAAGATTTTTCCGATTCCCTGAGGTGATTTCACACATCGAAGGAAATGAATAAACACTTGAAAAAGATATTATTGTTTAAAAATAAACAAAAATACTACTTGAATATTTTATCATTAGAGGATCTGGTGGTTCTAAATTTTTCAGCCTTCATAAGTTGATCAGCATATAACATCTGGACGAGTTTGTAGGCAGACAGTGCACCGTGCAACTTCTTTAAGTCCTAATTTTATTTTTGATGAATCGATTTAATTCAATCAAGCTACAAAAACACAATGCCCCCTAAATAGTAAAAATTATTATAATAAAAATTGTAACAATAGTTATTGGCACAAATTGTTAAAAACAAAAAAATAAAAAAAGAATTGTATATAAAATAATTTAAGAAACTGTAATAATTTTCAGAATTTTCATCAAACTTCATTTAATTTGTCGTCCATGCTGTGCTGGCTTTCCAATTCTTCAGTTAATTCAATAATGTCAATGCAAAGTTCTCTGAACTCCTGCCTCAACTGATCAATATCATCATCCTCCTTCACATCTGTCGCTAGTTTTTCCGTGTTATGAAGTGGGTATTGTAAAGTGATGTCCAAACTGTCGTTGAAGTGAACAAGGGAGTGCTTAGTATAATGCTCTATCAATTCGTACACTGAAGCAAATTGTGTGGAAGCCGATAAGTACCAGTAGCCATTCTTCTGACAGATTTTTATTAATTTGTTGGCGCCACCTTTCCTGATTTATTTAACATATCGTTTGGTGTAGGCACATCTCTATTATTATTAATAATATGATTTGAAACAATTGATCAAACCTTAACGTCAGAGTGTAAGGTTCGTTCTCATCCTTGGTGGTTGAGTGCCTCACAATGAACGTGCCATCAGGTGTGCCCATCAACAAATCATTAATTTCATCTCTAATATTAACAATAGCACAACCGTTATTTCCAAAATAAATCAACAGTAACAAAAACAACAAAAATTTATTTGTTATTTTTGAAAAAAATAAATGAAAATTTTATTATTTTTGAGTAGCAAGAACGTCCAAATCTTACTAAAAAAATACAAACAGTATTGCTATCTGATCAGAAATAACTGGCCGAGAAGTGACCGATGCCTGGACAGCAATGCAAGGTAGACCGCGATATTGATGCACATTCACAAAACAAGAACGACCGAAGAAAGAAACTTCACAAGCAGTAAAAGCTATAAACACGTTGTGCGACAGTAATTTGCTTAGTAATATATGCCTATATGAGGTGAGCCATTAGATAATAAAGATATCGATAGAGAACGTGTGTAAATTAAAATTGAAACAGATTGGAGGTAAAAAAAATGTCTAGAAGATAGATGAAGTAGGTTTTTTATTATATAAGGAACGTTGGCAGAAAAAAGTGAAACAAATAAACTTGAATGAAGCTCAGGCATTCAGTATTACTCTTTAACTGAACCGTTTATCGCAACAAAGTTATTAAGTAATAACCTTGAGATATCACCATGGAACCATGGAGCTTCTAAATCATTTTTGTTCCTACTAACGGCTCTGCACAACTCTTTTTCTGTAAAATCTTAAATGTTTGTGACTATGTGTTAAAGAGGATATATTAGGTTAATTATAAATAGAAACTACATGTAACAATAACGCTTTCTATGAAATAAATAATAAAACTTTCAGCAAGTAATAAACTGCGACATTTTCAATAAGCAATCCACCAACCAGGCATTTCTAACAAAATTTGAAGGCACTTCGTCTGCTGCTCTGAGTTTTGAATAATTTTTCTGTCAATGAAACATTTAAATTGACATTATTAGATGCATTTCATCAGGAGCAACAGGCAAATAATATATTCTAACGTAGCATAAATAATGAAAATAAATGGGCAAAGTTCCAATACCCAAATTTAACGAAAAACCTCAAATAAGGTTTTTAAAAAGTACAGAAACTAACATGACATTATTTTTGTGATCAAACTAAACGTAAATATTTTTAGTATTTGCATAAAATTTGAACAATTTAATAAAATTCATTTGATAATTTAAACAAATTAAAAAAATATTTTTACTTGATTTCACTCCAAGGTGGCCTCATTATAATTTGACTGAATATGCGACTGAGCTTTTTGCAGTTTTCTGGTTGCTTTAGAATATCAACTTTTAGATGGTTCAAAAAAAATTTCAAGGTTTTGCAATGAATAACTGGCAAACTATTGATAAGTGTTACTCTTCTTTCCATGTCTCCGTTACCTAACATGTCAAAATTCTTTATTCAGGAAAACAGTTTACAAAATATTTCGAAGATATATCAAAAATATAACGATAAAAACTAATACGATTTGACGTGGCAACGTATAATGGTGCGGCCACAAAATAGTCATCGTGAATAAACAACATTTAAAAACCTGAGCAATTCAAAAACAATAGTCTCTTTTCATTTAATATCTTCTGATATATTCTTCAAAAAATATTCAACTATGGCACATATTTTTATCCAGCTTTTTTAGCATACATACATGTGAAATGCTTTTTTCAATATAATTTTTTCCGTATTCCACGTCTCTCTCACCCTTCAGCCTGCACTTAACTCCGCCATTCAGCAGAGTAACAGCTTTATTCATTTAGACACCACATTTCTTAAAAACCTTGCATTGCACCTCTTTTATTTTCGCTTGCAAACTTTGGATGTATTAAATTCTGTTTTGTATCGCAGCATTTAATAAATAAATTAACAAACAAAAAATGATTAAAAAAATAACCTATAGCGAGAAACTTTTGGTACATCGATTCACAAATAACAGTATCTGGCAAATCTCTCAAAAATTTTTTTAGCACTCCACCTATCGTCGCATCTTTGTAGTCAGACAAATTGACTTTATGTAAGGCATTCACATCTGACAAAATAAAAATGAAATTTTAAGTATTAAGAATCGGAGTGAATTAATTAATTAATAATTAACATGAAAATCGCTCTGAAGTAAAATAAGTCAATTATTAACATCAGCAGGCACAGATTGTCAGTCCTAAAATAATTATGGTAACTTTTAATTATAAGCTGTTTAAAAAAAACTTTAAAAATAAAATGACCGCAATATACATTTGAAAAATGTAACAACAAATAAGCATAATACAAAACGGCTCAAGTCAACATAATATAACATAACAAGTATAGATACGTTTGAAATTATTAACAATCAAATATACTTGTATCAAAAGTGATCTTAAGCGAATGAACATCATTTGTGCTGGGCGAATGCCTATACACATTCAACAAATGAGATCCTGTTTAAATTAAAAAAAACTTGAAAATAGAGTTTTACGAATTCTTAGAAAAAAATTTAAAAATTTTTCCAACTGTTTGAACTTGGATATATTTTCATATTTCTTACTACTTTCCTTCTAAACAAGTCCAGAATGAAGTCATGACTAATAAAGAAACGTCGTCACCAACAACTCAATTTTCATCTTCAACTGTAATATTTACTCAACACGCTTCCAGGCGAATTAGCGTTATCTTAAACGTCGGTAACATATATTACACTATCAATCAATCAATCAATCAATCAATCAATCAATCAATCAATCAATCAATCAATCAATCAATCAATCAATCAATCAATCAATCAATCAATCAATCAATCAATCAATCAATCAATCAATCAATCAATCAATCAATCAATCTATCAATCTATCAATCAATCAATCAATCAATCGATCGATCGATCAATCAATCAATCAACCAATCAATCAATCAATCAACCAAACAATCAATCAATCAATCAATCAATCGATCGATCAATTAATCAATCAATCAATCTTCGTTTTGTGTCCAGAGACCCGGTTCCCCGAGGTAGGACGTTAACATATATTACACTAATCTCAAAAAGTTATTGTTGGTTCACATGTTTAATGAAAACTAATCAAAGAGGTTAAAAGTCTTAAAATGGAATTAAATATTTTAAACCTTCTAATTTGAATATTCCATTTTGAATATTCTAATTAGTAGTGGTTCTTACACAGACCATAGTCTTCTGAACCACTTTAAACCCCGTTAATAATAATAATAATAATAACCAGTCAATGCTGATGATGATTGGTCGCCCATGAACATCCATGTTATTTAATAGTTTAGCAAATAAATCTTAAATCTAACCTTGAACCCTAACTCTATCTTCAATCTCTCTGGTGCAAATGGTCAAAATTTGAGGAACATCTTGGAAGGACATCAGACTTTTTCCAAACTGAGAATCTAAATGCAATAATGAAATTAAACAAGAGTTGAAAAATGAAAGTGTAAATTTGTTTAAACTAATTAGATTTCATACATAATCCTTTTAAATAAAAATTTAACTAATAGAGTTGCTGAAAGAAGGGATGGCTACCTCACTAACCAAACCGCATTAACATAATTTATTCATCATTGTTTAGCGCCAAACAACTCAAGTTCAATGATCTAGAAATCAAAGCACCTAGCTAGATATCATAAAACATCAGCCCCCTTTTTCTAATTAAATGATAATTCACATAATATCCTCATTCTCTTTTGTATTTTATAAAAAATTTTCCGCTCATCACATTTTATAATGAACCGTCCTAATATGCTTCACAAGAGCATAAACAACATAAAGATGAGATGAGTAGAGATACTTGGAGCATCCTTTCAATAAACCTAGGCCACTTAATATTTATTAATATTGTATTTCAAAATTATAAATGGATAGAATATTTTTGTGACAATAAAAGATGGAGTATGTGATCATGTAATGTACTCTGATGTAAATCATACATTGGAGTAAATAAATTTCAATTCATTGGAGTGAACAAGTTTCATCCGAATAGAGAGCAATGTACCTGCGTTGAAACTGTTCCTTTTAGTGATGGTTGTGCATGGACAAGAAGGCAGCTGAGACTTGGCACATTTACGATGGCAGCACAGTCCACAAACTGCACGTTGAATTAACTCAATTATTATGGAATATAATTTTTTATTAATCTTAAGAACATTTTTCAGGTAGCATGCAGTCCAATTAACGTACACTGGAAACAATATTGCTCAACAATATGACCAATTCAATTGTGTTATGATAATTTGAGAATAGATATTTAAAATTGAACCTTGGCATTGAAATCCTTGATGAACTATGCCGTATAAAAATTTCTGGCAGACATGACAGGCTTGCATGGAAGAGAAGGAATGTATTGAAAAATCGTGACTGATTTCTGGTGTGGAAGTTTTCAATGATGCTCTCAATGTAATCTTCGGTGGAGGGGCCAAAGACGACGTTGATGTTGCTCTGGTTGAGGAGGATGACGAAGCAGATGGTGATGTTCGTAACATTTTAACTGCATTCATTATTGAAGTAATGTGGAAGGAGTCTACAATCTTCATTGTCTAACAAAAAATATACAAATTATTCTCTACTAAATAATGCTATTGGCTATTGAATATTATTGACAATTTAGACACGTAAAACGAACAGCAACAAGCAATGAGGAAAATGGAGATTAAATACTGAACAGTATGCGGGAAAAATATTAAACATGTAAAAATTCGTCAATGCAATTTCGTATTAATTCTTGGTGAAATAACGTTGATAACTAAGTAAAATATAGGTGAGTGATGAACAAGATTGATAGAGTTTTTAGATCAGATTATAAGCAGGTGATGTAACATAAATGGCAAAGAGCGATGTGAAACTGAAACACAAACTGAAGATTATATCAAATAATATTAAGTCAAAAAGTACAAAAACAAATAGAATCATTCAAAGGTAGCTAACGTAGCCACAAAAGTATAATAACGTCTTACTAATTAACGATCATCAGGTAAATTTTAAAAATAGACTATAGACTCATCAATAGTATATAATAACTAGATCACTATTATCAGGTTTGCTGACGTTAATAAACAATGACCTACAGGCATCAAGTGCAAAAAGTTCATAAAAGCTGATTGAGATGACGAACGAGAGAGATGAAGGTTATATATAGATTGCATGTCAACCGAGATGAAACTAAAGTGATGATTCCTGGAGAAGATGAAGACGGCGCAGAATTTTGAATAAAATTAAAAAAATCTAACAACTTGTTTACTGATGCAGTCTAATAACAACTAACAACAACAAATGGACCAAAGAAATTAACTAGAGAATAGTTTTGGCACGAAGATTGTTTGGATTGTTGTTAGAAGTGTGAAAACATAACGATAAAAACAAAGTTGAAAATAAATGAAGTCTCTTTTTCTATTCTTTACTGCTTTATGCATGTGAAACTAGAACAGTTAAAAAGAACAAAAACTGATTGCAGAAATTCGAAATGGAGTGCCAAAGAAAATTGTTGAGAGTCAGTCGGAGATGGAAGGTGAGGAATGAAATTATAGAAAATCAGCGTGGAAGGAAAACAAAAATACATATGAAAATATCAAAACAAAACATATGAATTTTTTGGACATGATTGCAGAACACTGGATAACAGAATAATTAAAACTGTACTAATGAGAAAACCTGAAAAGTTGGGAGACCTGCCAAGAAATAGGTAGATGGCAT